CAACAGTCATGATTGGTCTACTGAAGAAGAATATTTGCTCGTAGCATGACTCTATGTTTCGTTTAAATTATTTGCTACTTCTAACCAGATCTGCAAAGGTTTAAAACGTTAGATGTGTCTGTTATTCTCCGTTTTCTGTCATTATTTCGTATTTTATTAGTATCATGACCGAGTTGCTATATTCGCCAATTCGCAATCATTACCCAATTTCGGTCCGTACAAGCTGGGGAGGCATGCGAAAATTTATAACATTTAGATTCTGAGTCATATAGACAAGACTAGATTCCAGACGATGTTTGGGTATTCCACAATTTCATTCAAAGGCGTGTTACAAACTGGAGTATGTCCATTTAGGAATCAGAATGGCTCAAAAGTACCTTGAAATATTAAACACATTATAATATCGATTAAAAAATACAGTTCAATATTGCATGTTGACTTGCGCAGGCAAACTACGAAAAAGTACCTGCCTTGCGTCCTTTAGAGATTTAACAAGAAATATCGGGTTGTATGGCAACGCATTTTTCTCGGATAGTTTCTCAAGACTAGCAGCCAAGCGTAGGAAAAATGAACATATTTCCAATATAGGCCATTCTCTTGGAAGTTCCTCTCCGTGTAATGATTGAGATGGATCTTCTTGGATGGATTGCTGCGCTTCGTAAATACATGGGAGCCTTAGAGCTTGCGAAAACTTCGACTGATAAACAGTTTGTGCTCTAATAGCTCTTGTGTAGTGAAGCATGTAAGAAAGGCACTCAGTTTCCGGTGACACAAGCCAATCAATAAGAAGGTGTTCTGAAAAGAGTGCCACACATTTAAGAAATTCGGAAAATAGCCAGTGCACATTGGGCAAAAGCTGATCAAGTTCTCGGCATTCTCCCTGACTGAAATTGAAATAGAGAGAAAGCGAACAGTTTGTGAGAAACGATGAGGGGTCAATTTGCTTAATATCTATTAATTGATAAAAGACAGGGAATCAATTCTAGGAAATGCTCTGATTAAGCCAATATACAGCAAATTAAAGAGGCCTTAAGACTTGTTTGGCTTGAATCCCCTCCTATGAAAATTCATTGATAGCGCGTGGGTGAAGATTTTAATTAACTATACTAAATTGGCGACTTGTGCGCTATCTAGCATTAGATAGCTAATTTATACAATATTTCAGCAGGATTGAAATATGTCAGAGCCTTCTTCAAAACTAAGCAAACAATCAGAGGTGTAGTTTCATTCAGTTTTCTCGCAACGAGCTCTTGTTACGTTTTGACTTCAAATTCAACCTGGCTTGGGATGGTGAAGGTCATGTGACACCATTTTGGAAGTTGTTTCGTTCTGTTTTCGCATCTTGGTCATATTGGTAGGAAGACCTAGAGGAACGCACCTTGTCCGGAATCCATGGTATGCATGATGGTTTCCAGAGTCGGACCGTGGACTTAGTACATTCTCAGATATTCACCGGCATCGTATTCGGTATCGCCAACAGTTGCGAAAACAACTTTACAACAAAAGGAGACCACGACCATACAAAAGGCCAAACC